ACCCAGGCAAGAATGAGTAATGAAAATGTTCTTCTAATGCCTTTCTTTTCTATGAAAGATGCTACAGAAAGATAGAGCATTGTAATCCATAGTGCCCTGTATAAAATGGGGATTCTGTGGATGATAAACAAAAGTTGAATAGGAAAAAAAAATCTTGGCTCTGTGGAGTTTCTGGTCTAAATGCATGAAGACATAACTCGCAGTTTAACTGATCTCATTTGAAAGATGCATTTCTGAAACACACCACTTATCGTTTAGGACAAAGGATGCAAAAGGAACAGGAAACTTAAATATCTCCGGAGGGAACGTTTTTTCTTGTTAGACTATGTATATAGTGTACAGCTAAAAGCCTTTCTAATGACAGTGCTGGGGAATGGAGCCTACCCAGGTGTGGTAAGTTATGTACTTTACATCTGACTGTACAATTGCAATGATTTGTGGGACATGATTTGATCCATGGTATTTCCAAATCTATCTCATGATGAGTTGAACTTAGCAGCTTCTGCTCTGTAAGCACGTCAAAGCTTAGGATGGTCGGGGAAATTGTATTTAGTTGAGTAAGATCTATGATTATAAAGAGGAAAACCAGGAGCGTGTCCCTGCTAGAGTCTGACAATTCAAATTAAGGGGGAAGAACTTGCCTTTCTTCCATTTTGAGAACAAGTGGAATTAATTCCAGCAGAAAGCATGGCCACTGAGATGGGGGTTGGGAGGATGCTGATAAAATAGGAAGTAAATGAAGAAAATTATAGTAGTTAAATGAGGTGAATGTCAAGTAACGAGGTAACTTCCAACCACACCTCAAGTCCATATTTGAATTGGTGTTGTCCTTCAAAATTACCTTGAGAGCAGAGATCTGTATTCCAGGGGTATTGCCACTGCTCAGAACAGCTTGAGCATGGCTCCTGGAGGTTTTTCTTGTTACTCTTTTTGTAGAGTTACTATAATTGCATAATGATGACAGACTATTACATTACTTCTAACACTCTGCATATTTGTAAATAGAAGGAATATCATTCTGTGGATCAATGCCCCCTGATGCTAGCCTCTTTGCATCTCTCCTTTATGAGCCTGTGTGGGATGACTGCCTGGTGGGGATGATCTGACTACAGCTCTTTTGTCTCAAGTGCCCAGTTCTAGCTGTCTACTCACAAGGAGACCAGGGCACATGATTAGGATCAAAGTCTTTCTTATAAAGTGATTCCGACAGGACAATGACCAGAGACAAAGAAAGCACAGGTATCAGGCAAGTCCCTAGAGAGGATTCCTTGTCACAAGAGTAACAAATGCTGTTTGGGCTCATCTGACAGAACACAGGTGTTGCTTTGATATACAGAATGTTTTGCAATACTGTTATAACAAAGTGATTCTTGTGTCTTTGTGAGACACAGGTTGAACAGAGGAGGAGTGCCAGATTTCACCAAGTGGAATTCTCAGTTCATTCAGCTGGAATTTGGAAGCATACACAACTTCTCTTAATATATCATTCTGCCAACACGGACTTCTTGGGCAAACTGTGTGTTAGGCATGGTATCAGGCTCAAGAAGCAGTGATACAGAGGACAGACATGATCCCTGCCCTGTTGGTCTGTATATTTGGACATAAAAAAAAAACAGACAGTAAAGAATGACAAGGTAGTATAGGGATATCTCAAGAGTCATGAGAAGGTATTGTAGGTAAATATATAGTCTAGGGGTCTCGGAAGATTTTTTTTTTAAAGTGAATAAAGGGTGGTATTTAGTAAAGATAAAGAAAAAACATTAAGGTTGAGAGAATGGCAGATGCAGAGGCCTGGAGGTGAGAATTACGCGGCACAACTGAGTGGAAAGTTCCATGTGGTTTCTGGGCAGAGTGATGGGGAGAGAAGGCTGACAAGAAGAGCTCGTGAAATTAAGATTGGACAGGTCACACATGGGCCTAAGTGAAGGTCTAATTAAAGAGTTTGAAAGGCACCTGAACACCTGCAGGAAGTTAGGAAAATAATTAGATTTATGTTTAAAAAGATTATTCATGTAATGCCCAGAGGCTGACTAGTGTCTGGAGCTCAGGAGCTCTTCAGGGCTAACCTCTAAGCTCTGGATAAATCTCCTTTTAAAAACACAATGTGTGGAGGTTGGGGAACCTGGGAGCAGAGGCATTTTGGGATAGCTTAGGAAATAAAGCTCCTGACACCTTTAAGGGCAGGTGCCGGGGAGCTGTCCACAGGCCGGTGCTGAATGGCGGAAGCTAGGAGCTGCCCGAGTGAGCTTCCTGGGTGAATGCAAGTGGAGGTTGGGGTTCATGCCCCCCTTAGGGGTGGAGGGAGAGGGTTGGCTTTTATTTGCCTTTGTCCATTTCATTTTCCTCTTTATTTCTTTTATTTCTCTCTTCTCTTCCTTTTCCCATTTTCATTTTGTGGCAATACAGGTAGCATAGCCCACTCTCCTGAAAGGAAGCGGGAAGAGTGGGTGGCTCTTGCTCATCAGAGACTTCTCCTTATGAGGAATCAGCAGAACACTGATGACAGTTAACTAATAAAAACCCCACTGTTATCTTAGGTTTGCATGACTGGCTATTATTGTTAAATTGGCCATCGCAGACTGAGGCATTGTGTGTGTGTGTGAGGGGGAGTATTGTCTTTATTGTATTACAGTTGTTATTATCAGTTATTGCTGATTAGGCATTTAATGCAGGCCAGGCTCTTCCCCAAGTACTTTACTTTTCCAAACTCAAGAGGAGACTTATTATCTCTGTTTTATAGAACATGACTTGAATCAGAAGTTCAGTGGTTGTGATTTGTGCTATCGGTTCAATACATTATTACTAAGGCCACAAACCCAAAGGACAAGGATGAAAGATGCAGAAAACAAAATTCATTGATACCTACTACGCATGAGTTCTTTGGACAATCATTCATTTGGTCTCATAGCAATCCTGTGAAGTTGTACTCTTGTTATTCTCATTTTAAAGATGAGGATGCTAAGGTTCAGAGAGGTTAAAGTTAAGGGGATGAGGTCACACAACACATACTGGCTGAGTCAGTTTTAAAAGTTGGGACTCTCTGATTCTAAAGCCTAGACTCTGTCATCCAGAGTTTCTGTAGTTTTATGGGCCAGTCACAAGTGCAATCTAGTTTGCTTTCAGCTTGCCTCATTCTCCTGCAGTTCCGTTTTCCTTGGGTCCCAATGCCTCCCATATCAACTCTAGCTCTGAGAAGCCTGCTTCTAACACATGTTGGTAGCATGCAGGCTCACCACCAATGGAGGCTCTCTTGTTTTCTGCAATTGCACACTTTTTGGGTCACAAGGCATCCTCAAACCAAGCCAGCCTTTGTCTGAATTCCCGCTGGACAGTTTGGTCTCCGTCTCAATATTGAAGATGTCAATCTGGTACACAGCCTTTACAAGAAGGAGGAAGGCTGAGAACAAAGTCTCTTTCACATGCACCTCTCGTGGATGGGAGTGAACCCAGTCAACATCTTACTTGCTTTAAATTCCCTGGAGTGGCTATGAAAGAGAGAGGTCTTGCTCGATCAAGGAGAAACAAACCCTTTGAATCATCTGAATTAATTCTGCATCTCCCAGGAGGGAGGACTTTGGCATCACTCTCTTATTCTCCATCCCTGGTGCCCAGTCTCACAATCCCAAAGAACAAAAGAGGAGTCTGTGGTAAGTAGTGCCCAAATGATTTTTTTTTCTTGCACTTTAATTAAATCCATTTTTCCTGGGGTCACTGCCTTGGTATCTATGGGCTTTGATCTTTAACCCACACATGAAGGAGTGGGTAGCTTGTGCTCAGAGTAAGGAAGGTGCCTTCTTCCTGTGCCAGCAGAGCTCCAGCAATGAGCCCTTGGATTAGCAAACTCTGAGGTTGCGGGGAGAGTTTGAAACCTTTACAAAGCTGCATGCTAACTGGCTTCAGCCTCCACTTTGCCTTGAGCCCTTGACCTTCCTATATCAGAGGTGACTCCATCAGATGATAATTTGATCATGTTTTAGGAGACTAGTGTGGAGGTTGCTCTGGAGTGTAAGGTTCGATGTTTGGCTTATGAAAGATTTTTTTTTTCTTTTTCCAGTCTATTTGTCTGTTCCATTTTTAGAAATGACCCTCCCCTGCTCTTTGGTCAGGAAGGGGTCAGCACCAACCACCGAATGTTCAGGATGACACAGCAGAGTGTCACATGAGTGCTACTGTGCCAGGCTGTCTACACAAATACTGCTTGCTCCAGGCTAACTGCAGGTGGCAGAGCAGTGCCATCCTGGGGAGACAAGTGGCAGCTGAACTCTGTGGGTTACTGCTCCATTTCAGTGCCACGCAGAGTTAACAACCTCCTAGCCCAACCTTCTCCATTTAAAGGCGAGGAAACTGAGGTTCAAAATAGCGAAGGTCACAGAGACCATCAGGGATAGAATCCAAACAGAAACCAGGATCTCTGGTAGAAAGTCTCCTGTTTACTGATGAATTTGTCATCTGCCTTCATCGACCTGCCTCAGGACCTGACTCCACAGAGAGTGGGCTCTGTCAGGTCTGGGTGCCAGTCCTGACTCTGATGCCTGGTGGATGGCACTTCATACCCCTTCTTCTTGTCTTATCCCCTTGCAAAAGGACAGGAGTGAGGTGGATGATGAGGCCTGTCCTATTTCCTCGAAGGTTTTATTGTTAATAAGGAGAAAAGAAAATACCAAATGGGAAAGTAAAATAAAATGCACCAAGTAAGAGAAAATGCTAAATACATAGAACATCTGGATCTTATTTAGGAGTAATGTGAATTGCTCAATTTAATGTTTTCCTACAGATAGATACTGGAGGCAGCAGATCAGACCAGATTAGAGATGTGGGAGACGAATGCCATTAGCACCCAAATCCCTTGGAGAATCCTGTGCTCCTGGTAAAACCTGCAGAAAGTGTGCACATCTACATGTGTGTGCATGTTTGTCCGGGGTGAAAGGCATGGGGCCAGGGAGGGAAGACATGGCGCCCTTCAGCACTGGGCCTGGTAGAGGGGACGGGGAGAGGCCCACCTGTCGGACACGTCGAGGAGAGGCAACACCGTCCACCGCCACAGGCTCCAGCCTTCATTGGTGGCAACGTGCCAGATCATCCTGCTTTGCTCCTTCCCAGTTTTGTTCTCTACTAGCATCAAGGACACATTTCCCCTCAAGACTCCACGGATGAGCCAGGACATTCGGAGCTACGAGGGAGAGAAGAGCCAAAAGATGAGGTGTTAGCATGGAAAGGAAACCTTAGGGCCCCTTCTTGGGTTATCAGTGGAAGTCCAAAGGATTTTTCTGGAGACTCAGCTGAGATTGGCCCAGTGAGGAGAGCAGGGCACCCACTGCCTGATCTTACTCATTGTCTCCCAACGTGGCTTTCATTAAGTTCAAAGAGCTGTGCAGGGACAAGCTATGGGTAGTTCTGGAGCTTTATTTAGGTTGACAGTCTAGATTTTATAAGATTCTTTCTTGGAGGTAGATCAGTGGAGTGTTCAATGAATTTCCTAAAGAGTAGCTAAAAATTTTTGTCCATGGCCCCAATCCACTTTGCAATCTTAGGCAAATGATTTTTTTGACTCAATTTCTTTGACTGATTTAGGTAAAATAGATTTTTATTCCTTCCCCAAAGATTCCAATGCTCTTATTTGAACAGCAGGAACACATTATGTATTAGTTAACTGGAGATTCTGTGACTTGGTAGGTAAGGTCAGACAAAACCCTTTATATCAAGATGTTTTAATACAGTGTCTTCCCGAATGAGGGTGCCTGTTTTTCCAAAGGAAGAAGGGAACTTCACCCCAAATCAAGAGAGAGTAGTTTCATGACACCTCAGGAAACATTTGATACTTTTTGCCTGCAGTTTGGGGAGCAGAGTGTAAGGTTAGTGTCTATCCAGAAAACTCAAAGTTTTTCTATCTGGAAAACATAAATCCCCAGAGTTTCCTTAGGCAAAGAAATTCATGAATGTTTCACAGTCTAGAGGGGAGCCAAGTACAAGTGGGCCCTGTGGGTCATTTTAGATCTTGCCCAAGAGGGCTACACCGACCATAGCAGAAGAGCTGCTGGTACCTTGAGATGCCCAAGGGCAGAGGGAGAAGGAAGTGACCACCTGTAACTGAGACACATATGTTCTAGTCAACATAAAAGACCCTAAGTCACAGTGGAGGTGGCGGAGAGAAAGGTAGATCTCTGAAGGAACCATGGAAGTGTCCCTGTGAGAAACACAAGCCTCAAACACATGTGCAGGGAACACCAATACCAGATCCCCCCCAAAATCCCAGCCAACTAAGAGTTTTCTTGGTCCCTTTGTGTTTCTTTTCTTATGCTTACAATCCTGAACGGTCAGAGGTCAGCAAGAAGACAGAAGAGGAGGAGAAGCTGGATGGGGAACCGGAAATGTCACTGATCACACCCTTCCCTGATTTCAGGCTGTCCCTCTGCAGCAGGACCAATTACAGTCAGAGCAGGGGAGGGAAAGAAGCCCTAATTTTAGATCAAGGTTGAAGTTCTGACTGGCACCACATTTTGATTATAAGATAAGCCAGTGTTTTGTGATTTGAAGAAACTGGAGAATAGTCTGCTTCCCTTGGAGTGATCAGACAAGTAGGGGGGGTCTGACTGAATTTTCACCCAGGACCCCATACAAGAAGCTCAGTGAAGGCTCTGAGACTCCCCCATACCAGTTTATCTGCAAGATTTACACCTGCCTTACGTATTTCTGCTCCTGTACCTTTGATCCTTCCATTTCTTCTACCTCCACTTTTCTTCTCCTCATGTTAAAAAAAAAAAGGACATCGATTTTCTTTTCAGGAAGCTTTTTCTTACCATTCTACTCAGAAACGACTTCCTCTTTCTCTGAAGTCCTATAACTGAGGTGACTGGGATCCTCATGGGACATGCCTTGCTTTTCCTTACTGCAAGGCAGGAACTGTCTTATTTATCTTGTACTCAGTGACTGTCAAGCTTGGGCACATGGTTGGAGCCAGTCAATGTCAGAATGAATAAAAAGGTATACAAACATAGGCAGCCACTCCTGTCTTTACCAGGTTCCCAGCTCTGGTGAACCAACTTTTCATCCTCTGAAGCTTATTTGTACTTTCATGCATTCTGGAGATCAGGTTCCAGGGAAGGGGAGAGAATCTCCTATCTCTCAGCCACCTGACGATGTTCTAAACTGCCCAGTTCTCATTGCTCTTAGGAAATATTCAGTAAGAAGCAGAGTCTGCTAGTGACATGAGCATGTCCATGAGAAACAGCCCTGTCATGTCTATGGGGGGCCAGCTGACTGCTGAACTTTCTCATCTTCCCACACTACATTTTAGGCAAATTAGGTTGTGAGAGAGTGGTGGAGAGAGAACCCACATGATATGGTGCTAAGGTTCCAGCATCTTTATCCTGAAGACATCTTCCAGGAGCCTTCTTGGTTGGTATCAGCCCTTGAGGGAGATGATCAGCTATTGATTCACAAATATTTACTGCAGACCTACTCTGTGCTGCATACTGTGCATATCTTCCCTGTGCTCATGGACCTTATCATTCAACCAGGAAGTTAGAATTTAAACTAATAATTTCAAGTGTCTGAGTGTAACAAAAGATGAAGTAATTGGAGCCACTTGATAGCCAATGCAAAAGACATAAGACAATCAAAGCATTGATATCATCAAGGCCTTGGGTAAGACAGACGCTGGGCCCAACTGTTCAGAGCAATGAATAGATAAGAACATTTTAAAATTAATTTTCCTTTCATCTTTTGTGTGTGTGTGTGTGTGTGTGTGTGTGTGTGTGTGTGACGCTGGGGATTGAACCCAGGGTCTCACACATACTAGGCATGTGCTCTACCACTGAGATATCTCCCCAACCCCTCCTTTCATCTTATAATAGTACCACTTATAGTTTATAGCAGAAAACACATATCTAGGGCCAAAACTCAAGCCAAGGCATGCACTGTCTGAGCTTCAACAATGTTGAGTTCTAGAAATAGATACAAAAGTCTTGGAATAAGATTAGCAGTCAATAAGTAGCTAGTAAAGTACATTTAGGATCATAATTTTTTTTTTTTTTTTCTGCGGAGTGCTCAGTAAGGAGATACCCAGGCAGACCCTCTTCCTTAAGACAAGCATCGCACAACCCACTGTTTTTGCCTTGGTCTTTGCCTTGGACACACTTCCAAGTTCTGCCTGTAAGAGCCAGTGAGTGCCTTGTTGATCAGATTGTGGTCCTTGGACCCATGTCTTCAATATTACCTGGGAGCTTGTTAGAAATGAGGAAGCTCTGGCTGGGCCCCACACCTACTGAATTAGAATCTGGAGAGAAGCACTGAGTTAGAGAGCAGCCTCTGGAACTCTACCCTAGTGCTCCTCTGACTCATTCACCACCTTTCCAGAATGCACTGGAAACAACTGCCCTTTGCATCAACACTGATTCTTCAGGGGCTCATTTGATCATCTCATTTCCTGGCTTGTTCACTCTGTCAGAACTGGGAGTTCGTGCTCCATGGTTCAAGTGCATTAACTGTGTGACCTTAAGACTATTGCTTAGTCTCCTCTGAGCCTCTATTTTGTTACAGATAAACTTATGATCATACTCATACTTTCCCTGCTCACCTTAAAAGGTGGTTATAAATATTGGGTGAGTTAAAGAATGTGTAAGAGCCCAAGTGTGACTGTGTGTGGCGTGGGGAAACCAGTGGTTTTCCATCTGGGCTGCAAATTAGAGTCACCTGGGGCGCTCTCCAAATTGCCAATGTGTGGGCTCCACCTGAGAGATTCTGATTAAGTAGTCTTGGTTAGGTTCTGGACATCAGAGGCTTTAAAATCCCTCCAGGTGATTCTAAAGTGCATCCTGGGATGAGACCACTGGGGAGATGGGGCTACTTAGTGCAGAAAGTAGCCTGGCTCTCTCACTGAGGGGTCCATTTTCATTCTAGACTTTGAGTTTGAAGCTATTCTTAATTACTAAAAAAAATGGCTTAAAGTGTACCCACCATCACCAAAGTGTAGAGGGGGTGATTCTTCTATAGAGAGGAGGACACAGCCCTCCACAGAGAGTTTTCATGAGGTTACCACATCAGCTCCAGGCAAAGACTGAGAACAACCCAGAAAGTGAGGGACCCCTGGGCTGAGGGTGAGCAGAACTGACCTGAGCCAGACCTTGCCTCTTGCTCCTGCAGGGCAAGGTTCTCACCAATTTCTTAATTACTAGGACAGGAGGACTGATGTCAGGTCTTAGTGAGAATTCCTTATTAATCACCGGTGTCTAAGGGTATAGAGCGCTCTGGTTCCTAAGGCAAACTGCAGTTCTGAGTCTGTCTCAAAGGCTGACATTTCTCCTATCTGGTCCTAGGTGACAGAGCTCCTCTGGTGTCATCCTAATTACCCATGCCAAGGACATGCAACTAGATCTTAACAGTAAGATTCCAGTGCCCAACTAGGCACAACACACTCTTGAAAGTTGATCTTCATACCCATTTCTATCTTGTGTCTTGTAGGATACAAAACCACTTGTTTATTGAATGCCACAAAGCTGCACCAGGCACTTACACAAATGCTTATCATTGTACACTCACAGCACCCCTTCATGTAGCTATTGTTACTCCCATTTTTCAGAAGAAGAGTCTGAGGCTTGCAGGGGCGAAGCCAGTCCCTTGTGGGCCCATATGCTGTGGACCTGGGCTCTACTCTCTGTTCTACGCTGTTCCTACCACACCTTCAGAGCTATGCACACTGAACATGTTATGATAATCTTTAATGTATCCGGGGTCTATTGAGAAGATTTTCTTGATTCTTTTTGCTCACAGTGTGGTCTGTGGAGCAGCAACAATGGTATCACCTGAGAGCTTGTTAGAAATGCAGGACCTCAGGTCCTGGTCCAGCTCTACTGAATCAGAATTTATATTTTTACAAGGTCTGATCTGAGAAACACTTTCATATTGGAGGGATTAGGGGGATAGTGGATTTTCAGCCATTTATAACCCTAGCCCCAGTGTGTGTGTGAATGTGAGTGTGTGTGTGTGTGCGTGCGCATGCACGCGTGTGCAAGTGTGTGTTCATGTACATATCTATTATATTTATGGGAAATAACACTTGTTGGAGTCTGTAACAATATAATTTTTGATTCTCCTGGACACATCCTAATAGATATAGGTTCTAAATGGCAGCTTTTGAATAATAGACTCTTTTATATGCAGACAGCAAGTGAG